CTTTCATGAACTAAAATTGTTTTTGTAACATCTTCTTTTTCGTTTTTTTAAATTTCTTTTTTCGTTCTTTTTCATTTCTTTTTTTTTAACATTTTTTATTTACTTAAAAACAAAATAATAGTTTTTTTCATTTATTAATTTATGTGATTTTATTTATTTTTTAAACATATTTTTTATTTATTTAAAAATATAATATTTTATATTGTTTATTTATTATTTACATTTTTTGGTTATTTTATTATTCATATCACATTTTCTCGTTTTTATATAATTTATACATTCTCATTTACATTGTTTATATGTTTATAAATACTGAAGCAATAAATAATGGAAAAAAATAATAGTAACTTTGTAACAGACAAGGGAGATAAACATTTTTTTTAAATAAATGATTAATAACAATAATTATAAATGACAGCTACATTAATAATTATATGAACAATGCGCGTATATATTGATATTTCTTCCGGAAATAGAAATTTTTGTCTCATGAATTATATGTTCAAGAGAACAAAACATTGGTTTTTTTTTAATTTCAAGGTAAAAACAAGGCTAAATTGACTTTTAGATTTTGATGCGAAAAAAAACGAGGAAATAAAATTGATTAGAAGCACGAGGATGACAAAGTTCTGGGGAAAGCTTTGTGTATTGATGAAGTTTGGGAGGAATATTTTAGAGTCCTTTGCTTTACAAAATGATTGATCGCCATGTAATTAATAACGTCTCCTAATGGACCAATTATTTCCACTATTAATTAAAATTCCCTCTTACTGTTTGAACGAGAAAATTTGTCCTTTTCTCCGCAAGAAAATTTGTACACACATATATATAACTTTAATATATTTCCAATTCAAAGTGACTTACAAATACCATTAATCTAATTAATAAATAATTTTATTTCGAAAACATAATTTATATTTAGGATTAAAATAAATTTTTATCATTTATTCAAAAGTTTGTAAATATTTTTCTTTGTACAAATAATTTTGTCTGCTTTTCTTTATATCTTTTATAACTTTTTTGAATAAAAAAAGAACTTTAGGAAGGTGATTTAATTAAAAAGATATATCTTTTAAATAAATATTATTATTATTATATTATTATTATTATATAATATCTTTTAAATATCTCTTAAAATCTATAGATTTTATCAACTAATTTACCATGATTTTAATTAAAAAGAATTTTTTTTTATATTTAATTTACTGATGAAAATAAAAGATTGAAAAAAAATCTCATTTTGGTATTTTTTTTCTCTTCTTTGATGCTTTGGGAAATTAAATATTTATATTTTGAGTATTTTATTAATAGCTAAGTAAATTGAAGTAATAATTTTTGCTTGTGACTTTACCCCAGTTTCGTCATCTTTAAATATCATGTTTGTCGGTGAAAGAGGCACTTGAAAGGCGAGAGAAGTTGAACCCTCATCCCAATTGACAGGGAAGCTGTTTTAGCAATGTTCTCTAAAAGTTTTTCCATGTCAATGTGAAGTACTGCGTGAAAATTTTATCGCTTACTATTTGTGAATTTCACCCTAAATGTTGCGTATTACCCAAAATTTATTGTCCCGTCAAGTCCTTTGACTGAATAGTTCAATAAATCCTCTGAGTTAAAAGTTTCCTCAATATATATTGTAATTTTTTATTTAATTTGTTTATATATTTTTTATCTATTATTGTGTATTTTTATCTATTATTTTGTATTTTTATTTATTAGGTGTTTATTTTTATTTATTATTGTTTATTTTTACCTTTTATCTATTTTTTAATTATTTTGTGTCTTATTTTATTTGTTTATTTATTATATTTTTTTCATTTGTTTATTTATTTTATTTTTATTTTTTTATTTATTCATTCATATTTTTTGATTAGTATTTTAATATTCTTTTTTTCTTATTTATTTTATTTTTTTATTTATTTATTCATATTTTTTTAATTAGTTTAAAAATTTTTTTTTTCTTCAGTTAGTTTTATTTATTTACTTTGTTAAACTTCTTTACGTACTTTAGTTTATTTTTTTATTTCTCTATTTGAGATCGTTTATTTTCGTTTTATTTATTTATTTACATTCGTATTTTTTATTTATTTCCATTCGTATTTTTTATTTATTTCTTTCTTTACTTTTGTAAATTTGATTACATCTTCATTCACTATTTTCTATTTTTATTTACGTTTTTATTTACCTTCGTTCATTTACATCTATTTATCCCATTTTTTTTTCTATATTTACCTGTAAACCGAGTTAAAAAAATCTGAACTTTATTTACACTTTTTATTGAAACGAATAATTCTTACTTTCTAAATGTTCGATACATGCATTTGAAATGTGTAAATGGCCTTGAAGATAAAATACAACTCATTTTATCCTTTCATGACGTGTCACTATTTGATTTTCAAACACAGAATAGTTATTTGAAAATTGTATTAAATTATTAATATATAATATTTATACAATATTATTTGATATTTATTTTAATATTTATTTTAATATTTAACGTTTGTTAATTTTTCTTATTTACATAGTACTTTCATTTTTTTTATTTTCAATTTTTCCATTATCGATTGGAGAGAAATTTATATTTGTAATATATTTTACACCATAATGTAACCTCAAGTTGTTTCATAAATAATTTCTTTCTCCATGAATTTAACTCGTATTTTAATACTATATTAAGTAATAAAAATATAATAGAGTGATGAAAGGTGTACTAACACTTTATGAGACGTGGGAGTAGAAAAATTTTATGCTCTAATTAAAAAATTTCTTGAGTGCCTCATGACACTTTTGAAACTATCTGTTTTGCAATACCCTTGTTAAAAGAAAGTCCTCTAAACTGAACTTTAATTTAATGAAAATTAACTGGAAAATTTTTCAAAGTATTATAAACATGGTTGAGTGTAAGAAAAAATATGATACTTCAAAATAAACAGTTTTAAACTTTTAATTACAAATTTTAATTAATACTTTGATAGAATCATTAATGGGCGAATACAAATTAATGTAGTGTTTTAATTTTAAATTTTAATTTTAAATTAAAATTTTAAATTGAAATATTATATTATTATTATTTATTTTAATTTTTTAAAAAATACCTTTTTTGGGGAGTTTTAAGTAGAAAATGTCGACTTGGTCAGACAGGAGTTATTTTTCAGTGGAAAAGGGTATTTTAACTGGCGAGACTGTTTTAAGTAGAGAAAGATATTCTAGTCAGTTATTTTTCTGTTGAAAGAACTTTTTTAGGTACTTTAAAGCGAAAAAAGTCTGTTTCTGTGCGACGAGTTTTTTTTAATTTCAAGACAACAGCGAAAAACAAGAATAGAAAAATATACGAAAATTATTTTTTTGTGCTTTTCAATAGAAACAATCGTACAAGTCAGAAAAATTCTTTTTTAGTTGATAATAATTTATTTTCTTATTTTTAAGTAGAAAAAGTTACTACAGCCAGACAATACTTAGTTTTTAAATAGAAAATTATCGTTTTTTTTATTTTTAAGTAGAAAAATTCGTCGTAGTCAGACAATATTTTTAGGTATTGAATAGAAAATTATTTTCTTGTTGTTTGTAAGTAGAAAAAATAGCTTATGACAGACAAACATTTTTTGCAATACAATTTTTTAAGTAGAAAAACTCATTTATATTTTTTTTATTTATGAGTAGAAAAAGTCATTGTGGTCAGACAGTATTTATTTTTAAATAAAATATTATTTTTCTTTATTAATTGTGAGCAATAAAACAAATATTTTTTAGTGAAATTCATTCTCTGTTATTTTTAAGTGGAAAAAGGATTTGCTGATAGATAAAACTGATTTTTTAAATAGAAAAGTTTTCTTGTGTACTTTTCAGTCGAAACAGTCGTACAAGTTAGACAAAATCTTTTTTAGTTGGTAATAATTTATTTTCTTATTTTTAAGTAGAAAAAGTTACTACAGCCAGACAATACTTAGTTTTTAAATAGAAAATTATCGTTTTTTTTTATTTTTAAGTAGAAAAATTCGTCGTAGTCAGACAATATTTTTAGGTATTGAATAGAAAATTATTTTCTTGTTGTTTGTAAGTAGAAAAAATAGCTTATGACAGACAAACATTTTTTGCAATACAATTTTTTAAGTAGAAAAACTCATTTATATTTTTTTTATTTATGAGTAGAAAAAGTCATTGTGGTCAGACAGTATTTATTTTTAAATAAAATATTATTTTTCTTTATTAATTGTGAGCAATAAAACAAATATTTTTTAGTGAAATTCATTCTCTGTTATTTTTAAGTGGAAAAAGGATTTGCTGATAGATAAAACTGATTTTTTAAATAGAAAAGTTTTCTTGTGTACTTTTCAGTCGAAACAGTCGTACAAGTTAGACAAATTCTTTTTTAGTTGGTAATAATTTATTTTCTTCTTTTTAAGTAGAAAAAGTTACTGTAGTCAGACAATATTTATTTTTTGAAATAGAAAATTATATTTTTTATTTATAAGTAGAAAAAGTCGTTGTAGTCAGACAATACTTAATTATTAAATACAAAATTATTTTCTTGTTGTTTGTAAGTAGAAGAATTCGTTTAAGTCAGACAAATTCTTTTTTAGTTGATAATAATTTATTTTCTTCTTTTTAAGTAGAAAAAGTTTTTGTAGCCAGACGTTACTTATATTTTAAATACAAAATTATCTTTTTTTAATTTTTAAGTAGAAAAAGTCGTTGTAGTCAGACAATATTTATTGGATAGAAAATTATTTTTGTAAGTAAATAGAAAAATTCGTTTAAGTCTGACAAACATTTCTTGTAATAAAATTTGTTCCGTAGAAAAGCTCATTTATTTTTTTTTATTTATAAGTAGAAAAAGTCATTGTAGTCAGACAGTATTTATTTTTAAATAAAATATTATTTTTTTTACCCTTTTTTCGAGAAAATCTTAAAACAAAACTACTTTCTTCTGTTAATTTTAAGTAGAAAAACTCATTTAAGTCAGACAGTATTTTTTAATTAAAAAATTATTTTTCTGATTTCAGATTTCAGTCACAATGGAAATGAAGAATAATTATTATAATTCAACAATAATGTGACAACAAGAAGAAGAAAACAAACAAGAATATTCATTTGACGACATTAAAAAAATTGAAACAGAAATAAATTTTCTTTGATAATAAAATAATTATTAAAATTAAAGAAAAAAATAACTAGAAACATATGAAAAATAATATAAAAGATGACTGTCGATAAAATTGATACATCACGACAATTTGTCAAAGTTGAAGGTAGAGATTTCGAACCATCGGAAAAATGGAGAATATTAAAAAATATTTTAATGATCGGATTTGCATTCATGATACACTTCACTGCCTTTATGGGGGCGAGTAACCTTCAAAGCTCGATCAATGCAGATGAATCTTTAGGGACATTCACTTTAGCTTCCATTTATGGCAGCCTTATTTTCAGCAATATTTTCCTGCCAGTGGTTCTAATAAGGTAAAGTGATATTAAAAAATTTATTTTGCAAAATTTTCCTTTTTATTTTTTACTTTGTTTCGAAAATTTATTCAAACGGATTATTCTTAATGGGGTAATATTTTAGTGACACCAGGATAGTTACTAATTTGAGTAGCTTATTTTCTGTCTGTCTAAGTAGAAATTCTCGAAAATCAATCATCTGTGAGATAATTTATTTTTTGAATAGAAATTATTTTTTTGTAATTGATTTCTAAACGTATTTTTTGGGATTAACGAAAAAACCACTATAAACATAATTAAATAATAAAAAATTATTTTAATGGTCTTTAATTTTTTTTTGGTCTTAAAATAAATTTTTTCACTAAATAAATTAATATTCAAATGCACAGGAAATATCGAAATCTAATGAAAATTCAGATCAAAAAGTTAATAAAATAGAAAAGAAAAACAATTATAGGACAAGAACAAAAAAAGAAGTTGAACAAATGAAATAAAGAAATTGGGGTTTTATTGATATTTTTATTATAATCAAACAATAATTCAAAAAGTAGATGAAGATGAAAGTGAGGATGAAGTTGATTTAATTGGCGAGGAAAAAGAAATAATGAATAAAAATAAACAAGTTTTCGATGAATTCATGAATGAGTTGGGATTAGAAGTTAAAAAAGTAAAAGACGTTTTAGGAAAATTCGCTTTAGAAGAGAAAGGAAATTTTAAGAAATATACACGACTTACAGAGCAAAGGTAAACAAAAAATTGAAGAGAAATTGAACAAATAAAACTATCCTACAAATCAGACAAATTCTTTTTTAGTTGATAATAATTTCTTTTTTTACTTATAAGTAGAAAAAATCACTATAGTCAGACAATATTTATTAATTGAATATAAAATTATTTTTGTAAGTAGAAAAATTCTTTTAAGTCAGACAAACATTTTTTTCAATAAATTTTTTTAAGTAGAAAAACTCATTTATCTTTTTTTTATTTATAAGTAGAAAAAATCACTGTAGTAAGACAATATTTATTAATTGAATACAAAATTATTTTTGTAAGTAGAAAAATTTTGTAACTGGAAAAATTCGTCGAAGTCAGACAAAAATTTTTTTCTATGCAATTTTTTATATAGAAAAGCTCATTTATCTTTTTTCATTTATAAGTAGAAAAAGTCATTGTAGCCAGACAGTATTTATTTTTAAATGAAATATTATTTTTCTTTGTTATTTGTGAGCAGTAAAACAAATATTTTTTAGTTAAATTTATTCTCTGTTATTTTTAAGTGGAAAAACGATTTGATGATAAATAAAACTGATTATTTAAATAGAAAAGTTTTCTTGTGTACTTTTTAGTAGAAACAGTCGTACAAGTTAGACAAATTCTTTTTTAGTTGATAATCATTTATTTTCTTCTTTTTAAGTAGAAAAAGTTACAGTAGTCAGACAATTATTTTTTTTTGAAATAGAAAAATATATTTTTTATTTATAAGTAGAAAAAGTCGTTGTAGTCAGACAATACTTAATTATTAAATACAAAATTATTTTGTTCTTGTTTGTAAGTAGAAAAATTCTTTTAAGTCAGAAAAACATTTTTTTTAATAGAATTTCCTAAGCAGACAAATTTATTTACCTTTTTATTATTTATAAGTAGAAAAAATCGTTATAGTCAGACAATACTTATTAACTAAATACAAAATTATTTTCTTGTTGTTTGTAAGTAGAAAAATTCTTTTAAGTCAGACAAACATTTTTTTAAATAAAATTTCCTAAGTAGAAAAACTCATTTAACTCTTTTTATTTGTAAGTAGAAAAGTCATTTGTAGTCAGACAAAAAGTAGAAAATTATGAATTTATCATTTTTGTTTTCTTTTTCAGTTGGTTAGGATGCAAGTGGACAATTTCATTGACCTTCATTGCATACATGCCATTCATTGCTGCTCAGTTCTACCCTAGATTTTATACGATGATTCCTGCGGGATTAGCAGTCGGTCTTGGAGGAGGGCCACTTTGGTGTGCAAAGTGCACTTACTTGACGGTCGTATCAGAGGCTTATGCCAGTGTCTCAGATTTAAGTGCCGATATTCTTGTCACGAGATTCTTTGGTCTCTTTTTCATGTTCTATCAAATGGCACAAGTCTGGGGAAATCTCATTTCATCAGCAGGTGATTATAAAAAAACAAATATTTTTCATAATTTTTCTCAAACTTAAGACTTTTTCTTCTAACTTCTCACATGCTACATTTATTTTTAATTTATTATTTCCATAGCATTTTCATTGCTATAGACAAACAAAATGTCAATGTGGATAATAATTCATTTTGACAGTTAATTATAATTTTCTCTTCTTTCATTATCTTTTTTTTTAAATTTTAATATAAAAATAAATTATAAATATATTATGTAAATTCTCTTTATAGTTTGATTTTAATTTTTGTATTTTAATTAAAGTTTCTTTTAATTTTTTTTAAGTTTCTTTTAATATTTTAATTAAAGTTTCTTGTTTACATTTCAATTAAACTTTCTTTTTTACATTTTAATTAAACTTTCTTTTCATATTTCAATCTAAATTTTATTTTTATAAATATATATATTTAAAAAAAAAATAATGCTTCACCGTATATAAATAAATATGGATTAAAAATAATAACTGATTGAAATCGGACATAAAAGTTGATTGAAAATATTAAATTTCCACCCCCGAAAAAAAATGAGGTCAAATGTGCAGTAAAAAGAATACCTATCAAGTTGTTAGAAAAACAATAAAATTTTTTCTTCTTCTATCCGTTTATAACATCGTAAATTCTCACGTTTGCTTGATAATGCCGCATACAGATATATATGTATGTATTCAATCTATCGTGCAACCATGGCACGAATTGTTCAATTGGTAACGGATATATAAAACGAGAGTACTCACGGTTCACTTTTAAATTATATCAAATCATCTCAAATGGTACCTATATAATATATCATTCTCTGTGTTGGTATTTAAATCCAGCTAAAATTAACGAAAACGAATAATAATTAAAACGTGAATTTTCAATTAATGAATTAATAATTACAAATTGAAATTTAAATTTAAAAAAAAATTATACTTTTATGTCGTTAATTTTATTTCAATTATTTTACATTGAAAAATGTATCGACTGTGGTTACTTTTTATCAATTGTAAATTAAATTAATTTTTATGACCCAGATATTAATTGGAATTGTTCTAGCAATAGTTTAAAATCAGTAGAAATTATTATGACTAAAAAATGTTAGTAAACAGAAGATGAAGTTCGCTCAAAATAATTTTTCATCTTCTGCTGATTATCGGCTGTGGTTAATTTTTATAAATTGTGAATTAAATTAATTTTTATGACCCAGATATTAATTGGAATTGTTCTAGCAATAGTTTAAAATCAGTACAAATTATTATGACTAAAAAATGTTAGTAAACAGAAGATAAAGTTCGCTCAAAATAATTTTTCATCTTCTGCTGATTATCGGCTGTGGTTAATTTTTATAAATTGTGAATTAAATTAATTTTTATGACCCAGATATTAATTGGAATTGTTCTAGCAATAGTTTGGGACCAGTAAAAATTTTATGACTAAAAATTAATAGTAATCAGAAGATAAAGTTTGCTCAATAATAATTTTTCATCTTCTGCTGATTATCGGCTGTGATTACTTTTTATGAATTCTGAATTTAATTATATTTTATGACCCAGATATTAATTGAAATTGTTCTAGCAATAGTCTAGGACCAGTAAAAAATTTTATTACTAAAAATTTTTAGTGATTAGAATATAAAGTTCGCTCAAAAATCATTTTTCATCTTCTGCAGATTATGGGCTGTTGTTACTTTTTATAAATTGTGAATTAAATTAATTTTTATGACCCAAATATTAATTGGAATTGTTCTAGCAATAGTCTAGGACCGGTAAAAAATTTTATTACTAAAAATTTTTAGTAATCAGAAGATAAACTTCACTCAAAAATAATTTTTCATCTTCTGCTGATTATCGGCTGTGGTTACATTTTATGAATTGTGAATTTAATTATATTTTATAACCCAAATATTAATTGGAATTGTTCTAGCAATAGTCTAGGACCGGTAAAAAATTTTATTACTAAAAATTTTTAGTGATTAGAATATAAAGTTCGCTCAAAAATAATTTTTCATCTTCTGCTGATTATCGGCTGTGATTACTTTTTATGAATTCTGAATTTAATTAATTTTTATGACCCAGATATTAATTGGAATTGTTCTTGTGATAAGTTAGGACCAGTAAAAAATTTTATGACTAAAAATTTTTAGTAATCAGAAGATAAAGTTCGGTCAAAATAATTTTTCATCTTCTGCTGATTATGGGATGTGGTTACTTTTTATAAATTGTGAATAAAATTAATTTTTATGACCCAGATATTAATAATAGTTACAATTATAATTTTTTTGGTAACAATTCACCTTACGATATAGTTGTTGTTATTAACTTGTTTGTAGGTATTTATTTTTATTAAAAATTATTATTTTATAATTATTGATTTATAATTTATTTCAACTACAATTCAAATTTTTAAAAAATTTTAATTTCTAAAATTCAGTAGTAAAATTCAATAGCAGTAGAAATTTTCATGAAATGAAATTAATGAAAAGAAAATTTCAGTTTTATCATATGGAATGGAGGTAAAGGAAACGGAGAATATATTAAATAGTACGGTGGTATCAGAAATTTGTGGCGCACAATTTTGTGGGATTGTCGAGGCGAATCCAAATTTAGAAGCTCCAGCATCCGAGAGGATTTGGATGATTTCCGGAATTTATTTAGGATGCATGATAGTAGCATGTCTCATCGTTGCATTTGGCGTGGATTCCATGTCTAGGTAAATCATTAATATTCTCATGTCAATATTTAATTTACGATATAGCTAATTGACAATATTGATATTAACGACCAAGTCTAATATGCTTCTAATCAATCTCCTTTTTTCTTTTTACAAATTACAACAAAAATAATTTATTTTATTTTCCTTCTTATTTAATGTTGAACGGAATGAAAAATTGTTTTAAAAATATGCAAATGAATAATTTGTTTAGTAAATTTTTTAATTTTGTTCGGAATAATTTTTTTAAAATATGGAATATTTTAATACTTTTTGTAATTTATTATTTGTAATATTTTGAATTTTTTTAGTATTTTTAGTATCTTTAGAATTTTTAATATTTTTTGTATTTTTAGTATTTTGAATATCTTTATTTTTTGTATTTTACCTAATATTTTTTGTATATTAATATTTTAATATTTTAGAATTTTTGGTATTTTAAATAATTTCAATATCTTTAGTATCTTCAGCATCTTAGTATTTTTACTATTTTAATCATTTTTGTATTTTAATATTTTGAACTTTTTAATTTTTCAGTATTTTATTTTTATTTTATTTTTTTAGTATTTTATTTTTATTTTATTTTTTTAGTATTTTATTTTTATTTTATTTTTTTAGTATTTTATCATTTTAGTATTTTTGCGATTTTAATATTTTTAATATTTTAGTATCTTTAGTATCTTCAATATTTTCAGTATTTTTAGTATTTTTAGTATCTTTGGTACTTTTAGTATTTTAACTAATATTACTAATTTATATTTACTAATTTAATTTAGTTTAATATTTTATTTAGTATTTAGTAGTTTCTGAAGAAAATTCTTTAGAGTTTTTACAAAATTTTAGAAAATTCTTTTCGGAAAAAAATTTAAATATTTATTTATTTTATAGGTACGATAGGGGTAGAAAGGGGTCAACAAGTGGAACGACTGGTTTAAAACTGTTGGCAGTAACACTAAAATTATTGAAAGAGAAAAGTCAATTATTAATTTTGCCACTGACTGTATTCATAGGAGCCGAACAGGCCTTTCTCTTCGCTGATTACACTGCTGTAAGTACCAAAAAAAATATTTAATGAATTCATTTAATTAAGGGAATTAATAATTATGTAAAAATATCTTTGATTATTGCAATTTATTTAGATTCTAAAATTAGATAAAAAAAATTTAATTTTAATCTCAATTTTATTGTTTTTTGTTTTTTAATTTATTTATTTACAAGATATGCTTTGCAAGAAATTGAAATCTGTCCTACAATAAGTACTAAAAAAAATATTATTTTTTTTCAAATTAATGACCAATTCTCCAACATTGATTTTTTCATTTTACCAGAGTTATTATTTCTCGAACTTGATTTTCCTCCGCTCACTTTAATTCTCAATTTTAACGCAGACAATTCTTGTTCAAATAACAACAGCAAAAAAAAAAAAAAAAGGAAATTTTTTTCTTTCAATAGAGAACGAAAATGAAATATTTGAAAATATTCCGTCATTGAAAGCTTATGAGATTTAATTTTAATTTTCAGTCGTTTGTTTCCTGCGCCTGGGGTATTAATAATATTGGATATGTGATGATATGCTTTGGTGTGACTAACGCCATTGCAGCATTGGCCACTGGTTCAATAATGAAACTGACGGGAAGAATTCCCGTAATGATCTTCGCTTTTTTTCTCCATATGGGAATTCTCATTGCCTTGATCCTTTGGAAACCTTCGCCCGAACAAGGCACCATATTCTTTGTTATATCCGGTCTCTGGGGAATTTGCGATTCAATTTGGCTGGTTCAAGTCAATGGTGAGTTATTTAAAAAATATTTATCAAAAAAAAAAAAAAGGTGAAAAATAATACAAAACATATTTTTTCTCTTCTAAAAATAGAATTGTTTTCTGTGGAGAATTTTTATTTATAAAAAATAGAGGTAGGAATAGTTTTAAAATTTTATCGCTCGTGAATTTGAAGTATTTTCCTTCATTAATTAAACGTCATTCAAAATGGAAATCAATAGCAAAACAAAATTCTTTTATTTTTTAAATTGAATGTTGAGATAATTGGATAGTTTCAAATTTGATATGTGAGTAAATTAAGTTTCCTTTTTTTTTAAATTGAAGCCATTCGAAAGTGGAAATTTTTTTAGTAAACAATATACTTCGTTAAAGTCGGATAATAGAACTTTGATTTTTTCTACTTTTTGCAATAAACTGGATTTTTTTTTTAAATCGAAAAATTTTTTTTCTCATTTATTTGAATTGGAGTTTATTATTTATTTTAACAATTCATCGAGTTTGAATTAAAATGACAAGTAACGCCACACGTGGAATTATTCGGACAATTTTCGAAAAGTGAATAAAAAAGATCTCTTCATTTAGAGAGTTGCCAGTCGATGGTAATTTACCATCTGTCAATAAATTTACCGACTGAAGAGAAAGTAGTTTTATTAAACTGCGTGGATTTCTTCTTTATCAGTCAATGATAATTTATATTTTTGCAGCGCTTTGCGGCTTGCTATTTCCAAATAAGGAAGAAGCCGCGTATTCAAACTTCCGACTGTGGGAGGCAACAGGATCTGTTATCGCCTATGCGTACAATCCTTATCTTTGTACTGTTAAGAAAATTTATATACTTATGTTTATACTCTGTGTTGGTATGATTGGTTATGGCGTAATTGAAAAAACAGGACAAGTGAGGAGAATTAGTAAAGATCAAAATAAACCCGATTTTGAACTTGTTGCATCCTTAGATAAGTAAGATTTTTGGATTTATCTAAAAATCTCTTGAGAATTTGGAAAATTTTTTTAACCACGTTCTTTTAATTTTATCACTTGTTTTTTAATGAGCGAAAATTTTCTTATCTTTCAACAAACAGTATTAAAAAGATTCATTAATTTTTAAAGTATCAAATTATTGTAAATAATATTGTAGTTGTTAGTTTTTGTAAATGTTAAGTTTTTAAATATTAGGTAAATTTACAAAATAAATAAATAAAATAAAGAACTAGAAATTTAAAGTAAATAAAATAAAAAAATAAACTAAACTATTTTATGTATGTAAATCGTGATAAAAATCATAATTAATTATTTTATTACAAAATACTCTGTTTATAAGTATTCAGTATGTTTACACTTTTTATAATAATTAAAATTAAAACAATTACAAAGATCATGCGAACAATTAAAAATTTTGATAAAAAAAACGTATTTAGTGAAAGACTTAACAAGAGAACATGAGGAAATGAACCAAGGCAAACTATGTAAATTTTATTGTACATAATATATTTTTCAATAAAAAGAAAGACAATAATTTAAAGTTAATTAATTGATTTTATTTATAATTACCGAACTGATAATAAATAATAAAAGAAAAAAATAATAATAATAATTTAAATTTAAATTAATAATTTACATTTAAAGAATAATTTAAAAAAATTCTTATTTAATAATAAAAAAATACTTTAAAGTAGACAAGTGCGACGTTAAGATGAAATAATTATTAAAAATTAAAAAAATAGTAGTAATTTTTACTGATGTTTTTTTTCTTTATTAATTTTTAATAATTAATTAAATTAATTTATTCATTTGAATGGAGAAGTTATAATATTTTTTTCTTTAAAATTTTATTGAAAAAATACTGAAAATTTCGAGAAAATTTTAAAAATCATTACTTTAATTTAGTCAACTTTGCAACAATTGACAGTTAGAGAGAAAATTTAATCCTCTACTGTAAATAAGAAAGGTGACAACTATTGGCATTGTTTAGTATACTTGTATTCTTTGCATCCTTGTCTATCTATTCTTGAAGGATAATAAAAGTACGAAATTGAAATTTTGCCCTTTCCCCCTCTTTTCATTTATTTTCGTTATCGCCTTCTACCTGAGTCTCCCATAAAATTTCAGTACAAAGTCGTCCTTCAGTGGGGCAACATTTTCAAGTATAAATTGTTATTTCACTAAATAAAATTTATTTAAATATTTCTAATACTTTAATTTTTTTAAGTGCCACAAATATTTAACATTAAAATTTTTTTCGATTCCAAAAGGATGTGCAAGATTTTTCAGGGTGAGTACCAAAAGATATAACAAAGTTGCTTTTAAATATGAAATTTATTTTAGATAATGGTATTTTAAATTAACAGTAACATTACAGTAATTAAAAAAAACATTTTTACATTTATATTAATTATTACAACAGATAAATCCAATTTCAAATTTTTTTCTATTTCATGATTATTTCTATAGAATTTCAAAAATAATAAATAATTATTTTAAATTTGTTTCAAAATTTGTTTATGAATGTAATATTTTTATATATATTATCGCTTTTAGTTTTATTAATAACAAAATTATTTATGTCACATTTATTTTATATTTTGAAATATTTTTATAAATTTAGTTAATTCATTTTAATTTGTATTATTTTAGTTAATAATTTATTATTTTATTAATTATTTTATTAATAATCTTTATTTGGTAATATTTTTATTGGTATTATTTGGTAATATTAATGATTAATATTCTTTATTTGATAATATTAATGATTAATATTCTTTATTTGATAATATTAATGATTAATATTCTTTATTTGATAATATTAATGATTAATTAACATTAAATAAAAAGTAAAGAATTTTTTTTAATAAATTTATTTCACTTTCAATAATAAAATTTTTGCAATAAAATTATTTCATTGAATCCAGTAAATCTATAGTCTGTTGTAATAAATTATTTCTTTGTAGTAACAATTGGCATTTTTTAAAAATACGTAAACTATTTTCTATTAAAAGCAGTCTAAATGTAGGAATTAATTTTGACAATTTATAATTTTTTTGTCCTTAAATTTTTTTTACAGATTTTTTTAAATTTTCTCAGCGAGAGATGGAAAAGGAAAGAAGTCCCGAAGAAGGAGCGCAGAATGATTCAAAATTTATGGGAAGTCTTCGAAAAGCATCATATACTGCTTAGCTTTTAATACTTTAGGATATTTTTCTCCGAAAGTAACAAATATTTGTCAATACTTTAAAATAGTTTGTCTTTTTCGTTGAGTAGTACTGTAATACTGTAAAAAATTGTACTGTAATTTATTTAGCTAGGAATTCTGAAATCATGATATGACGATTATATTAGCTAGGAAATTAGTAAAATAAGTAGTTTTAATAATTACATAAGAGGACAACTCACAACGTTCATCATTCGAAGGTGAGGGGTAAGTCAAGAAATACTGAAATAATTTATTTTTTTATTGCAACCTATGCCCAGAAAAATAATTTTATTTACAATAATTATACATATTTATATTATATTCATTGCAAAATATTATGTTCTTTACAAATTTTTAAATTCCTTATAAATTAGTGAGAATTAAAGATATAGGTAAAAAATTTATTAAGAAATAAAATCAAAAAGATTAAAGAGTATTTTAAAAAAAAAAAATAAAATAAAATTTTATAAAAAATAAAATTTAAAATTAATAATTAATAATTAAAATTTAAATTCTTTTTAGTAGTTTATATTTTTTAAATAAAATTTTAGTGCGAAGTTAACGAAAATAAAAATTTGTTATTTTCAATATTGACGACTTTTCAATAATTCAAAATTGGAGAAAAAGTTTAATACTTTTTTGTAAGCAAAAAAATTAACGACCGTACAGTATTGTTACGAAATTTGTTTTCCTTTACCCTTGTATGTATTTTTTTAAATGATAATATCAGAACAAATTCATAAATAATTGGTTAAAATGTAATGAAGTTAATAATAATAATTTTCAATTATTTCAATTTCTTTCATAAGAAATTTTACGAAAAATTCAAATGTATTTTTAAAATTATCATAATCACTCTCTAAAATTTGAATCATTCTCAAATGTTTAAATTGTAAGAAAAAGTCAGTCATTAATTCTAGTATTAAATAATCTACGGATAATTTGGTTAAAACACGTTTTTAATTAAACATCTGGGTGTAGGTCTTAGTTTAAGTATAGCAGTAAAAAATAATTATGCACCAATTACTGTGAATTATTAATTATTGTTTATTAATATTTATTATAAAATTATTATCTATAAATAATTATTATAAAATTATTATTAATTATTAATTATTATTTATTACTAATTATAACTAATTATTAAATTATTTATTAATTGTTTATTATGGCTGAATATCACAGTAATCGGTGCAATTTTCTTCTCATGTGAGTAAAAGACTTTTCTTATAACTGTTATGATCTCCAATGTCAATTTTTCGATCATTTTTATCTTAAAATATAAAATAAATTAAGCTAATCTTTTGAGAATAAAACTAAAGTATGATGAGGTAGGGGTCAGGGAGGTATGAAAATTTTAATATTTAAAAAATTATCTATTATAAACTAGTTTGGTGGGAATTATAATTTTTATATTACAATTTTTTTATAATTTTATCAAGAAAGTGTTCTAAAATAAATAATTTAAATAAAAATTTTATTTAAATAAAATTTATATTTATATTTTAGACTTCCGGGAAATATTTTTAAATATTTATATTTTATAAATTTATTTATTTATTTTATTTTTATATTATTTATTTTAAAATATTATTATTACTTCCGGGATATCAAGTGATTTCATAACTTCATAGTCTTGGAAACAATTTCTTGAATTAAAAATTTGTGTTATCATAAATAATAATTTTTTTAATATATTTAAAAGAATTCTACTTTTTAAAATATAAGCTCAATTTATGCAATATATTAAGAGAGAAATGTTTGAAAAATTAGCTATGGAAATTTAACAGTCACATGCTGTTTACAATTTAAGGTTTTGTTTTAAAAGGAAATTAGTTTTATGTGTAATAGATTTTTTTCTCAGTGTATTTTTTTTCCTTTATGAAAGGAAATATTTGTCAGCATCCACATTACACTTCAAAATATTTAGAGAGTAAATGAGCCTTTAAGTAGAATAATTGTTTCTTATTAATTAAACTTCAAAGCTTAACGATAAGGAGTTAAAGACAATGAAAAATATATTTTTTAAATATAAAATTTTAATAACATATTTATTGTAGTATACAAATATTAGGCAATGTTTTTATTCTAATTAAAATATTTTTTATTCTAATTAAAATATAAATGCACGCGAGGCAAGTGTATAAAAAAGAAAATATCTTTATTAATCCTTGCATATTGGTAACTAGCAGATGAAAGTCTTCATAGAATTTTCTTTTCTTCTAAGTCTTCCTTTTCATTCCTGAAACAAAAAAAAGGTTTTTTACTCACATGAACAATATATATCATTTTCCAAAGAGAACTTTCTCTCTTTACTTGTAAATTAAGTAATAATAATTCTTGTCAGTAAATACTGATATTGACAAGTAGAGAGAGAAAATTGTCAACCAAAAAAAGGAGGTTACGACTCCACCTTTCTTGGCATCTAGTGGAAAAGTCTGTTCCCCTTTTTTGTCTTAAAACACTCCTCTTTCTTTCCAAACTTTTTTCCTACACAATTTTTTCCACTTTCCAATTTTTCTACCCCCTTAATTTCCTACTTTTTTTTCCCACGGAGAGTTTGTTCTCTTTTGGTGAAAAGGATAAGTAGAAAATAGAGGCATAGGAAAGGAGTACTTTGACTTTACTTCTTTCTCTCCCTAGGGAGAAAAAGAAGTCCTTTCAAAGAAGTTCTTTCCCAAGTAGGCTTTGTCGACTTTTCCTACTTGGAAGTGAAGTAAAGTCGTCAGACCCCAGGGGAGGAGGTTAGGACTCCGTCCTCTCCTGACAGAGTAGCAAGCAAAAGTCCATTCGTCGAGTCCAATGGAGAGTTAACGACTCTCTCCACTGGTGAAAAACCAAAGTCGTCCTCGAGGAGAGAGTTTCCGACTTCGATCTCCTCGAGTAGGGAAGTTGGAAATGTCTTTCTCAACGTTCCACTAGAAGTCGAAGTCAAGGAGTAGGACCTTACTACTCCTTGAGAAAAAAAGGGGGGGGGGTTGTACGTCAATTTTTTTTTTAAATTTCTAGAGCTAGATCGTTAATTTTTTCTATTTCACAGTGACCTTCTTACCCATTCGACTTCTTGGAAGATAGAAGTCGCCATCCATCGTCTTCATGACTTGGATGACTTCTCCTCTTCCTACTCAAGGAGAGCGAAGTCGACAACTCCTCTCCTTGAGGGTGACTTCTTTTTCTGAGAAGGGGAGACAACTTCGTCATCCCAACATCCCAACTCAAGGAGAAAGAAGTCACTTTTCCTCGAGGACGACTTCAGGCTACTACTAGCGAGATTGGGGAGAGAAAGTCGTCATACTCTCCCCATACCAAACCAAGAGACTAGAGATTTTTTAAAGAA